TAGTGTACTACTCTTCTAATCGAGCTCATTCTGTCTAGGATCAAGTAGGACTTTATTTGGTTGTAATGTAGGCTGCGGGAGGGGTAGGATACATTTAGATATAAGAGTGACTACACCTCCCTAAGCACTTTAATACATATACTTTAACATTCAAACCGCATACTTATATCAAACCAAACTCCACATTCACCTCAATGTATATTATCTCATACTTCTTTAAGCACAATTACATCAACAGTCACCACTTATCAAGGAATACTTTTTTTTTCACTACAATATAACTATTTTTTTATTTTATTCAAGTGGCTCTTACTTGTTCAAAACAGTGCTCCTTTCTTATTTCATTAGTTTCACTCAAAAGCCAAACCAGCCACCCCACACTTTAACTTTTACACAGTTCACAAACAATTCAAGTGCTCATGGGAGGTTACAATGGTTCAAATAGATGGTTAATTCAAACAAATGGGTAAGGCTTGTAATGTGGTTGCCAAAGAAACAGGATTACAAGCTCAAAGGGGTTAACTACGATACATAAAAATTAGGCGGGTAAAATATATATATGTCTCAACAAAGAAATGTCTATATCACTTCCAAGACTGAACAAAACTACTATTTCGCTTTGCAAACACACGGGGCAAGTTCTAGAAATCAAATGCAATGCATAGAATAACACAAAAACCTTACACACACATGACACATAACTCACTCAAGATCGGGCTCATCAAGACACTATAGTTAAAGCAAAGTTAAGATCATACAATTTAAGGTACTTATACAAGAGTCTAAAATCTGAGCCTAAGCGTCACAACCAAGGTACTCACTATTCTCAAGGCATAACAAAGTCAAGTGATTTTGCTTCATTTCAAAACACAACACAATGGTTCCTATTAAAAAAAAAGACTAACTATATCCGGTTCAAACAAACCCCTTGAAAAAGAACCGCGGCACAAAAAAAAATCAAGGGGGAATTGCTACACTACCTAACACAAGAAATTTTTTTTTGTTTTTTATTTTTCTTTAGACTTAAATCCCTCAAGAAAATTGTCTAATAGATCCATCGTCGGGAAAACTCCAATCTTTTCTAATTTTGTAAAAAAAAATTATTCAATTAAATTAACACAACTAAAATAGCATAGAAAGTCACCCAGACAATCTCCTCACCCCACACTTAAAATTGTGCATTGTCCCCAATGCACACCCATACATTCAAGAGGGTAAAAGGAACTCCCTGGTAGGCCAAAAGGCCGAAGCACTAGCATCTCATGGGGTGCTCAGACTTCTCCCAGGCCTGGTCCTTCGTGCGGGTACCTCACACTTTGTCCCAACTAATGGTTTGCTGTTGCATCCTTCAAATAGCTTTGCTTTCCATGCTCCTAGAAAATAAAAAATCGACACTACAAAAATAATATAATAATAAAAAAAATAAACTAAATTAAAAATAAAATAAAAAAATAAAGCTGGGTTGCCTCCTAACAAGCGCTTGATTTAACGTCGTGGCAGGATGTGAATCACTTTTTGCCTCCACCTCGAGCGTATGAATTGAACCCCAAGTTTTGATTCAAGCTTATGATTATGGTCATGGGGCGGTGGAACGAATCTAACTGGCCCAAGGAAATAATGTAGTATTCTGCACTCCTTGGCCTTTGTATGAGGTATGTAATCCTGACTTTCTCGCAAGAAGAATTCAAGAATATATGCACCTTGTTCCTCATTCCTTGACTCTTCATTTGGTTCAGATGACTCTATTTCCATATCATCATCCAAACATAATGTGAAAAAATGCTTGGAGTGTGGACCAATGCGCTTAAACACATGAACTTCAGGACTTTCAACATACTCAACATCAATGATACTAGAGTCAACAAAATTTATATCGTCAAAGTCCTTGGCTAGCTCTAGTCTCACTTCTTCAACATTAACATTCTCAAATTGTAGTTGGCTAGGTTATTGATGTTCTACTCTGACCTCCCCAATTAACACCTCAAATTCATGCTCTTTTTGGCTGCTATCCTCAATATTGGCTTGTTGAGCATTAAAAGCTCCAACCACTTGACTCAATTGAGCCTCTAACTTGTAAATAGTTGCCTCTTGCCTTTCTATCTGCAATTGTTTTTCATTATTTTATTTTAGAAGGCACTTTAACATATCCTTGATCTCCTTCAGGTCTGCATCCCCATGTTCTTTGTTCCTGTTAACTTTACAAGAAAAGGTAGAACCATTATAGTAAGGGGTTGGGGGAAGATATGAAATATAAGCACAACCACAAAAGTGACCATTTTTACCACCACACATATCACAAACATTCTACAAATAAGATTGAGTTGGTGCACATAACTCGCTCTCAAGAACGTTTTAAAAATTTTGCCACAGGTGGTTTCCTTCACAATATGTATGGAGATCAATAGTAGGATTATCAACACCTAAATTCCCATAATTCCTAGATGTCATGTTTCTCAAATCAAAAGTTATAAAAATAAAATAAAATAAAAGTTCAAACTTGAACCCTAGCAATATATACAGCTACAATTACACCGTTAGTTCCCCGGCAACAACGCCAAAATTTGATCATGCCCAACTCTAGTCCTAAAAAGGATAACCGCTCGCTGCAAATATAATCCGGTCTAAAAGTCCGGAGTCGAATCCCACAGAGAACTAAGGCTTAGCTATATCTGTTTAATATCACTAAGAAGACAAGTTTGAACAATTTTCTAAATTATAAAGATTGAGATTTATATTTCTAACTAATTAACTAGCAAATACTAGAAAGCGGTAAAATTATCAACTAACGAGACAAAGGGTTGGAGACTAAATTAAGGGGTTCTAGAGTTATGATTTCCCCAATTGTCGGAATACCTTCTAGCTATTTCCCCTACAATTTCGCCAATGTATTCTCTACTAATCGTGAGCACTTTAGGTGCCGTAATTCTCTCTCGAGCAACTACAATAATTTACAAGACATATTCTCTCGAACTACGCTAGTTGGCTTTATCTAACCGCTCATTATGACCACGTCAAGGCTTTGTTATTTCTAAACCTGCCTTTAACCCACTGTATTGATTTCTCACATACGTTAGGAGTGACGTTGTTCAACAACCACCTAAATATGTATCCTTTCTCAAGCAACACATAATAAATAGGCACAGTCAATCGATGGCCATTCAATCAACAACAATAAACACGTAGTTGAACAAGTAGAGAAATCCAATGACTCAATTGTATAAAAACATAACAAAAATTTATCCTACAAAAGGTTCCATCAAAACCCTAGATAACAAATTAGCTATTCATAATAGTATGTAAAACTAAAATACTAAAAGTCATAACAAACAATGAAAAAATAGGAATAGGAAGGAAAAACTCGTAGAAGAATTCCCCGCCTTGCTCCTATTGTGTCTTTGCCTCCTTAGGTCGAATCTGTGCCAAAAGTATGTCCAACCTCCTCAAAATACCGTTTTTCCATGTATATATACCAAGTAGGGTCGGGCGCAAATAATTATACCTTCTCATATGCAAAAAAGGACGATTTTCAGGTCTGGACGCTCGCGGTCGCGGTTCGGGCGCGGTATTTTCCCAGTGTAGTGCCTCAGTCCGCGTCCAGGTCCGCTGTCGCGGTTTTGACTGCGTTTTCACCCCTGTTCTTTATGGAATTTGGAAAAACATAAAACACTAAAGTTGTAGCCCTTTGCGTTAGCTTTCCAACTATATATTATATAGCCCAAATGGAGTTTAGAGCAAAGAGTTATGTCTATTTTACTAGATAGTGCGCAATATGCCTACTCGAGTCTTCGTTTGTTCTTTACTATCAAATTTCCTTGAACACGATCCCGACTTAATTCCTTGGGCTTTTACTCAGACTTCAAAGCTCGAAATCACTTGAACTCATTCCATAACATTTATATAGCTCGGAATCACTCCTACAAGGCATAAAACGCACAATTAGTGCAAAACACTAGCGATTAAAGCGCAAACTCAACTAAAGTGTAGTAAATTAGAGTGTAATAATCGACTAAAATATGTAATTATAGTCTATAATCAAGGAACTGTTACAACTTCAACTTAAGAACTTAGAAAAGAGAATGTTATTGATATTAGCGATGGTGATTTGCAAATAGGAAAAGTGTTTGATAGTGATGATGAAGCTTACAATTACTATATGAATTTCGCTAAATGTTTTGGTTTTTCAGTTAGCATGATCGCCATTTAGGAAATGTAGAACATCCTATGGGAATTTATAAAAAGGATTATGTTTGTCATCGAGCCATTAGCCCTCGTCCTCAAAAGGTAGTTGAAAAAGAGCGACAAAGAAATCAAAAATCTTCCAGATGCAACTGTATAGCCAATATGTCCATCGCCAAAGATATTTTTGATGGCATCACTCGTTGGACAATGGTGTATTTTGATAGTGCCTAACATGTGAAATGGGTGCATAAGGATGTTGTGCTCAGCCTGGAATACAATCATGAAATTGAAAGTACCAGAGATTCCTAGAGGCATACCATCAGAAAAACTTCCTTGACCAATTGGGTAGATCAAGAAAACTGCGGTAGCAGCTGCAACAGGAGCTGAATATGCAACACCAATCCAAGGTCGCATACCCAGACGGAAACTAAGCTCCCACTCACGACCCATGTAACAAGCTACGCCAAGTAAGAAGTGTAGAACAATTAGTTCATAAGGACCACCGTTGTATAACCATTCATCAACGGACGCCGCTTCCCAGATTGGGTAAAAATGTAAACCTATAGCTGCAGAAGTAGGAATAATGGCACCAGAAATAATATTGTTTCCGTAAAGTAGAGACCCTGAAACAGGTTCACGAATACCATCAATGTCTACTGGAGGAGCAGCAATGAAGGCAATAATAAATACAGAAGTTGCCGTCAATAAGGTAGGGATCATCAAAACACCAAACCATCCAATGTAAAGACGGTTTTCAGTGCTGGTTATCCAGTTACAGAAGCGACCCCGCTAAATTAAATTCTAGTTTAGGTGAAGGAAGTATGACCGCCTTACCAATAGTTGAAACCCAATCGGGAGATGTTTTGGCTTGTATTCCTACTAATGTAATTTCCATTACTGATGGACAAATCATTTTATCCGCCGACCTATTCAATTCTGGAATCAGACCTGCTATTAATATGGGTATCTCCGTTTCCAGAGTGGGGTCCGCAGCTCAAATAAAAGCCATGAAACAAGTAGTTGGTAAATTAAAATTAGAACTAGCACAATTCGCAGAATTAGAAGCCTTTGCACAATTTGCTTCTGATCTCGATAAAGCTACTCAGAATCAATTGGCAAGAGGTCAACGATTACGTGAAGTGCTTAAACAATCCCAAGCAGCTCCTCTCACGGTAGAAGAGCAGATAATGACTATTTATAACGGAACAAACTGCTATCTTGATTCATTAGAAGTTGGACAGGTAAGGAAATTTCTTGTTGAGCTACGTACTTACTTAAAAACTAATAAACCTCAGTTCCAAGAAATCATATCTTCTACCAAGACATTTACCGAGGAAGCAGAAGCCCTTTTGAAAGAAGCTATTCAGGAACAAATGGACCGTTTTATACTTCAGGAACAAGCATAAAGAAATATTGATCACTTTTGTCTTAATCTTAATAAAAAAAAGGAATCAAGTGTCTTGGATTCAAATATTCAAACAGTCTTTCTTGCTATCGAATCCCCCAAGAGAAATTGTTAGACGGATATATGTTCCCGATCGAGAATTATCAGATATCAGAAAAGTATCATACTTCAATTTGAATTTTGAATTGAATAGAAAATTGAAATTCTGTTTTCATAGAGCACAACCCGTGTTGCCCCGAATAGAACAGAGAACGACAATAAAACAATAAAAGAGAAGAAAGACGGATATTATAGATATCTCCACACGTGGTTAAGCCATACAAACCTTCTTTTCCAGGTAATTCAGTCTTATGGTTCTTCATTATCTGCATATGGCCCTTTTTTCCTAGGTGCTCATTTTGTCTGGGCTTTTAGTTTAATGTTTCTATTCAGTGGACGTGGTTATTGGCAAGAACTTATTGAATCCATCGTTTGGGCTCATAATAAATTAAAAGTTGCTCCTGCTACTCAGCCGAGAGCCTTGAGCATTATACAAGGACGTGCTGTAGGAGTAACCCATTACCTTCTGGGTGGAATTGCCACAACATGGGCATTCTTCTTAGCAAGAATTATTGCAGTAGGATAATGGCTAGGAGGATTTGAAAAGCATTATGGCATTACGATTTCCAAGGTTTAGCCAAGGCTTAGCTCAGGACCCCACTACTCGTCGTATTTGGTTTGGTATTGCTACCGCACATGACTTCGAGAGTCATGATTATATTATTGAGGAACGTCTTTATCAGAATATTTTTGCTTCGGTCAATTAGCAATAATTTTTCTGTGGACTTCCGGAAATCTGTTTCATGTAGCTTGGCAAGGAAATTTTGAGTCGTGGGTACAGGACCCTTCAAAATCATGAACTTTTGAGTGATAAAGAGGCACGATTTTTCCCTGCTTATCGAAATATTGACATTGTTGATCAAACACGAATTACACTTCTTGCAAAAGGTGGTTGTTCAATAAGTTTAATCAGAAGAGTGATTGAATTAGAAAAGAGAGTAGATCTAGGCCAATCGCCTTTCACAGAAAAAGATATAAGGAACTTTGTTTAATCAGAAAGTTCTACTAACATTGAAAGTGATGCCCCGGAGCTGTTGAAAATATGCAAGATCTTGAAAGACAGAGATGTTGATTTCCAATATGATTTCACTGTTGATGGATGTCAAAGACTCGAACATGTCATCTGGGCATTCAGAGACTCTATTCGTGCTTATGAAGTTTTTACAGATGTAGTCGCCTTTGACACTACTTATCGATTGAATCGTTATGAAATGCCATTAGGAGTTGTGTGGACAATCATGGCAATTCTATTTTTTTTGGTTGTGTTCTCTTGCGCAATGAGAAGGCATCTTCTTTTTCTTGGGCTTTAAAGGTAAAAATCATTATAATATCTAGCTACAAGAATTATTTTTAGCTTTACTGCTACCGTATGTTTATTTTGTAGAGTTTCGTACGGCTTATGAATGGAAAGCACCCACATACTATATTAACAGATCAAGATCTTGGCTTAACAGAAGCTATTGCCAATGAGTTGCCGCATTCTAAACATGCCTTTTGTATATGGCATATTACGTCCAAGTTCTCTACTTGATTTTCTTTTGTCCTTGGTTTAAGATATTTGCAATTTAAATATGAATTTCACAGACTTTATGAACTTGGTAACATCGAAGAATTTGAGCACCAATGGGATGAATTGATCTCTCAGTTTGATCTCGGATCAGATAGGCAGATGAAATTTCTATATTTAAATCGTGCATCTTGGGCACTGCCATACTTGAAGGGATACTTTTTTGCTGGAATGACGACGACTGGACGCTCATAATCTATTAATGCATATTTGAAAAGATTTTTACATGCCAGAACAAGTTTAAAAGAATTTGTTGAGTAGGTTACTACTGCAGCTAGTATAAGAAACCATACTGGTGAAGAGGCAACAATGCGACAAAAGTATTACCATCCTCAAATTAAGACATTCATGCCGATGAAGAAACATACATCAAAAGTTCTCACACCCTTCGCCTTTAAGTTGTTACAAGATGAGATGATACTTTCTGTTTAGTATGGTCTATTTCCACATAGTTTTGGGTCATATCTTGTGCGACCTCAGCAAAACAGATGGTGGACGTTTTGTCTGTTGGAATTCAATAGAAGAGGTTGTTCAATGTTCTTGCCAAGAGTTTGAATTTTCAGGAATTTTGTGCAGGTATTCTATTCGAGTACTTAGTGCTCATAACTGTTTCATGTTGCCTGATAAATATTTGTTGTCTAGGTGGAGGCAAGAAAATCTATTGGTTCTAAAGTTTACTCATATGATGAAATCCACTAAAGATAAAAACGAGTTACAGAGTCTTCATTCTTCGTTCAGAGATTTGACTCTTGAATCAACAAAGACAAAAGATCGTCTTGAATATGCTAAGAAGGAATTGCAAGGAGTGCTGCAAATTGTTCAATGTTTTCCTGAAAATGAGTATACGAGTGAAGAGCATGAACATGTCGCTTTTAGTCAATCTATAGAGAGCAATTCTCTAGATGAAGATTATCACATTGAAAATCCACAACAATCTCAGACAAAGGGAAGAAAAAAAGGAAAAAGGTTAGTTGGGTACATTGAAGCTGCAAAGAAACTAAGATATTGCAAGGTTCCTAATTGTGGTGGAACTGGGCACGACTCAAGAAATTGTCCACTGAAAAGGAAAATATCAGAAATCCCAGCAACTCAATCTCCTAACAAGTAAGTATATGAGTTTCATTATGTCTAATATCTTGTAGAATAAAGATACTCATAATGCATACAAAATGAAATAAAAATTTTATTTTGGTTGGAGGATTCTAAAAGGATAGTCAAACAAGCTCTAAGGTGATCCAACTGGGAAAAAGTCCTTTTGCTTATTAGAATCAGCCATTGTACATCATATTTTGTTAATCTCAAGTTGAATTGTGTAGAGATCAAAAATTACAAAAATCATTTCTGTTTATGAACAAGAAATCAGCCGTTGTACATCATTTTTTTGAATAGTGACATCTTTTATTTCATGTAAATTTTGTTTTAGATGAGTACAAGAGGAAGGGCTTTAATCAATGTGTTTTTATCTCTTAGTACTTAGTTTGAACAAGGAATCTTTTTGCTAATCAGAACAATATATTGTATACCAGATCAATTATTTGAATAGGAATATGCTTTATTCCATGTAAAAACTGGTTCAGATGTACAAGAGGAGGGGGACTTCAAGCCTAACCTCCAATATTACTTTTGCTAGAAGAGAACATCCTCTCTTACAAAATTTCAAGAATAAGCTACTAGTTTCTAAAGCCAAATTCATGAAGGAGAATCTCCTCGTTGCAGAATTTATAAGTGCTATGAATCTAAAAATTTGTTGAGCTTCAAAAATAACAAACGTTTCAGCAATCATGCCTTCCAGCTACTATCCATCTTCAATCATATAGAACTGACTGCTATGTTGCAAAAGAAAAGAGTTACACCCATCTAGTGATTATCCATCCAGTTATGAACATGAAACATCATAATTCCCAGTTGTAAATTGTAGGAAGTAATTAAAAATATAAATAACCCAAGGAAAATTAATTGACTTACAATCTAGTGGAATACGCCTCCAACCTTCACCCTTCTTACGCTTTTCGCCATATCTCCGCATCCATAGGGAGCTAATAAAATTATACGAACTCTACCAAACAAGACGAACATCGTCACAAAATGAATTGTAGATGTGAAAAATAAAATCCTAGAATTTAGACGGAGGCAAGAAAAAGAAAACAGAACAGATCTGCGTCCTAAAGCAGGATGTTACACCCCATATTTTCGTACTTAAAAGTAAGCCATAAGTAAATTGATGAAAGCTCGAAAATGAGATATTACATCCGGTATTTTCGTATGTTAAAGTTTCGTCTTTAGTTAATCGACGTAAGTACGGGAATGAGATTATTTTGAGATTTTAAGCATTATGCTATTTGAAACAAGTGATGAGTAAATTCTTGAAGGTGAGAGGGTAAGCAAATCGAAGAAAATGAATATCATCGACGTTTGACATTTTGGGATAAAATACGGCCCGAGCTAAAATACCCGGTATTTGTGAACTAGTGCCATAGAAGGTACCACATGACCATGATAGTGAGGTGTATATAAGGTATGTTAAAAGTGAGTAGTATTTTAAGTAATCTGAAATAATTCTTAATTATGTGGGTAATTGGTTAATTATTGTATTAATGCGAAATTACCAAGTTAATTAAAAAATTGATAATTAATTAAGGTGTTGATGGATAAGCCTTAAAGGCCCCCAACGTGGCAGCAAGTTTGGCCAAATTAGTGACTCTTAAAGTCACAAAGAAAGGTGGCACATTTTGGAGGAACTCTTAGGCTAAGTCATCACCTAGTTATTCTTTCTTTAATTAGAATTGTTTAAACAAGATTAATACTACATATAACCAAATCATGTTTCGTTGGCATTTCACAACTCCAACACTTCAGCAAAATTCAAACAAAAGTTTGCATGCTAATTCTTAGTAACGCAACTTTATGCAAACAAAATCTCTTAGCATCTTAGCAACGTGAGATGTTGCAATTTTAAGGGAGTACGGTGCAATCTTTCGCAAGAATATCAAATGGATTTTTCCCTACTCCGATCTTGCCGTTATGTATTTGTTGCAATTGACGTATATTAGAGGGATTGTCAAGAGAATCGGCTCAGGTATGTTAAGACTATTCCTTCTTTCTTTTTGGCACGATCCATACGATACAAACGAAATGAGCAAATGCACAACTTCGATAAATGACTCTATTCATAGAAGTATTAGAGGTGCCTATGTTCTTGATTTTCCATGTGTCTTATTATTACATCTTCTGTTCATGGGTCTTTGAAAAATACATAAGTTGAAAAAAAGGTTTATTTCATGATATTACTCAAAGGCATAATGATCGTATGACATTTCGAGAGATTTTATTAACGTACTTCTCATGCATTACATTTATTTATGCATGTACATTGACCCATGACCAGATGGTGTTATATACGCGTATATATGTATATTATATGTATATGGAATATGGTAAAAGGTTACAGCGTTATATACGTACTACCACATGATTAGCTGGTATACGTTGATGATTTGCCCACAGTGGCCGAGATGATGTGATGGGATGCGCTCAGATGTAAGAATTCAATTTCCTAAACTCTATCTTATTCATAATACGACGATGACTACATCTAGAAAGACGGTTGGTAAGGGATTGAATGCGGTTATGGAAGAGTTGAGTCAGAGGGACTCGATTTTGCATCATGCTTATGATGAGTAAATGTGAGGTCTTTAGCAGACCATGTGTGTGCTAAGACGTATAAGATTCCTGATAAGGAGCCTTAAGGCAAGAATATCTATCCACCCATATGGTAAAAAGCAACGAGAGAATCAGAAGGTACAAGTAAAATAAGTAAAAGAAGCGAGATGAAGAAGGGTACGAGGCACCCAATCAATGAAGATTAATAGTATTTAGAATTCAAGCAGAGAAAGATAAGCAATCCGAGTCACTTTCAACAGCAACAAAGATATCTACAATTAGCTACACCCATCTCAATT